TGGACTGGGCGGGGGGCCCTGGTTTGGGAGGGTTCGGGGCCCAGAGTTCTAGAAGGGGTTTGGGCGGGGAGGGATCCTGGGGGTGTTTTAAGGGCTGTCCCAGGGTTTTCGGGGGGTCCCAGGGCAGTTTTGGGGTGGTTTGGGGGCGGATTGGGGCAGTTTGAGAGGGTTTGGGGGCTCCCTGACCCCCCCGCAGTGTGCACCCAGCTCCTGGGGGTGTCCCAGGGTTTTGGGGCAGGATTTTGGGGGGGGGGGGTCCCAGGGCAGTTTTGGGGCTCCCTGACCCCCCCGCAGTGTGCACCCAGCTCCTGGTGTCACGGCCAGACGAGGAGAACATCACCAGTTACCTCCAGCTGCTCGAGAAGTGCCTGAGCCATGAGGTACCCTCGGGGTGAGGGGGTCCCGGCGGTCTCTATGTGCCCCCCACCCAGACCCCAGACCCCGGAGGCCCCCCTCTGACCCCCCCCGGGCCCCCCCAGGCGTTCACGGAGACGCAGAAGAAGCGGCTCCAGTCCTGGAAGCAGCAGGTGCTGAAGCTGCTCCGCGCCTTCCCCAAGAAGGGGCCCCTGGACGGCCCCCCCGGATACCGGCCCCCCAAAAGGTACCTGGGGGGGTCCGGGAGCCCCCCTCCCATGCTCCTGTGACCCTCCCCAACAATCCCCATTTCCCCAGCCTCCATTTCTGCCCTGCGTGAGGTTTGGGGGCTGCTTGGAAGCGATGCCCCACCCCCCCCGCCCCCAAATGCTCAATTCGCGCCCCCCGCCCCAATTTTGGGGGGTCTGACCCGACCCTCTCCGTGTGTGGAGCGCAATCCCCCGTTTGGAAGGGCTCAGGGAGTCGCCCACCCCCTGAGATTTGGGGGGGGGTTTGGGGCAATTTGGGGCATTTCTCCTCCTCCCTCCGGGGGCTTTCTGGGGGGGTCAAAGGGGCCTCCCCTCTCCCCACTTCCCAATTTCCCTTTCTCCCCAGTTTGGGGGGGGGAGGGGTGTCTCCCCTGTCCTGGGGGGTTCTGGGGGGTCTCAGCATGCCCCTGGCCCACTCGTAGACCACCTGGACCAGGCTGAAGCCGAACTGGGCCACGAAGTCGTCGGGGCCGCGCCCCCCCCCCCCCCCCCCCCCCCGGCCTTCGGCTCCAACTCTCTCCCCATAGCTGGCTCTGTGGGGGGGGGGCGGCGGGGGGGAGGCCGCCCCTTCGCGCTGCCCCCCCGGGCCCTGCCCCCCCCCGCCCGCCTGGGGCTGCTGGGACCCCCCGGGGGGGCCCCCGCCCCCAGACCCCCCCTCGGAGCCCCCCCCTTGGGCACACAGGGACGGCAGGTGGGTCCGGGGGGGGGGAATCGGGGGGATTCGTGGGGGGATTTTGGGGAGGA